CTAAAATAATCTACAAATAACAAAAACAAAACAACATAATGAAAAAAGACATCTTCATTTTCTGGCTCTGCGTCAGACTCTGGCTCCAACATGTAGGGATGGATGGACAAGTCTTTTAATTCATTAAAAAAATACAATAAAATAAAAACCTTTCTGTATTATAGTCGTAAACCCCTCTATCAAACTGGAATAGACCGGTCTGGAAGCTGGAGGCGGGCGGGTTGTGAAGCACCACGGTTGGATTTAAAGAGACAGCCTCAACATGAGTTGATCTGAGACACAGCTCAGAAAAGGGGTGAAAGAGGGGCTTGTGGAGTTACAATAAGAAAGTATTGACTGATTTAAATGTGAAAAATAAGGGTTTAAAAGCAGGCTATGTATCCTTTAATCAGTATGGATATCTTTTTTTTAAAGCAGAGGAAAACATTTTGTGCAAACTGTAACACAAGTTATAGAATGAAGGTTTAAAACATTTTTTTATTCATAAGGTGGCTGACGACGGTTATGGCGTCTCCTACATCATTCTTGGCGACAGCCTCATCAACTTCCACATCTCCAGCAAATACTCGAGTCCAGAAACTGTAAGTTGTTCCCCTTTGTCGTCGGCTCTCATCCTTTTGTATCGTTCCTCTCTCTAAAAGTACTATTTGTTTTTATTTTTCTTCATTTCAGGACTCGCGACGTTTTGGAAACAACATCAGACAGGCCATGCTGGACATCCTAAGTCTTTTCCAGCTCGATAAGAAAAACAACGATACCAAGTGATGAACCTCCTTATCAGTGAAGAAAACACAAATTATTGTTTTAGCAAAACAGATTTTCTTCCTGAAACTTGTACAGAATCACCTAATCAGTTTTGGATTAATTTTAAGTTAATTAATGTTACATAAGGAAGGTATTTGGGAGAGGAAACATCGCCGTCATCATGCTTGTAAAGTTATAGTGTGTACTGTATCTGTAAGAAAGGTCAGGCTCTAGCACAGGTAGTRCACAGATCAAAATATTTATTTGTAAAACTGTACTTACTGGTGCCTTGGTGACCTGCTAATGTAAAGAAGAGTGGGAAAGGTGAAAGATGTAAAGGTTTAAAAAGCATCATCTGATATTTAGTTGTGTTTTTAAGTTGTACGATGGTGCAATATGTTCATTAGTTGTCATCATTTACTTTATGCCATGAAGTTTCCTCTTTAGTTGCAGCTCTCGCTAAAACGGCAAACTTGAAGTTTAAGTTTTGGGTTGCATGGTGTTCATGCATCTGTAATAACAAATTCTGAACATTTAACTTTTATTTGAAGTGTGACCTTGTATCTGTGCGACTGAACACAACACAACACGCAGCTGGTGCCACTGTCTAATCTCCATTGCCTTTCCGACTCGACCGTGTTAGCAGGCTGTTCAGGTTCAGCTGCTGTGGTTTGATGTTGCCGTGAGGGCAGGTGATGCTTGGGTGTGTCTGGTTTTCACGCTCAGGCTTTGCTCAGTCTGTTTTCAAAGTGCTGACGAGAGCTCKGAACCATTAATGCTTGTTAGAGTTCAACTTGCAGTTGCAATAGTATTGAATATTGGAATAACTGTCAGTGCTGAAGCCACATTTTTCTCACCTCTGTTTTTCAACTCARCATTTGAGCATTTTGACCGCTATCATCTAAATGAGCTGAAGGCCTTTAGGTCAGWTGGGGTCCTTTTTGATATTGCAATGACAATAATTGTTTATGCCGTGCAGCTGTGGTGCTGATGCTGGTGTGCTGCAGTAGAAGCTGAAACGCACCACTGTGCTTGACTTGGTTGTATTAATATAAACGAAGCAAATTTAACTTTCGTTGTCCAAAATCAAGCCCAAACTATTGTTTTGGGAGKTTTTTTKKTTTTTTTTGGGAGCCGTCGAGTATTTTTGGAGAGGGATTTTGCGCACAGCTGTCACACTGTGAGTCACAGTGGAAGACAAATGAAAAAACACAATTCTGGCGTGTATTTAAAATGTTTGGTCAGTCAAGTGTCCCAATCATTTACATGGTGGAGCGGAATAGAAAAATTGTAGTGCAGTTTGCGGCTGTGGCTTCAGCTTCTGTGTGCTGGGCCTGTGTCTAATAATACGTTGGTCGAAGGGCCAAGCTGAAGTTTTCATGACTGTAGGATGGAAATGTGACTGTGTGGCCAACTGTTATAAAACTGTTATTGTGTTCTTTATAATCAGCCTTATAGTTCAGAGTTATCAAACTCAATGATTAAAATAAACTAAACCTTACGTTTTTTTTGTTTTTTTTTCAGGGGGTGATGGTTCAGAATCATTGACTTGTTTATTTTGTTAGAGCTGTAGTTTTATTTTATGTTTTAAAGAAACTCAAAAGGCAGTTATAGTTCTGGTTTGTCCTGAACTGGAATGAGTTTTTATGTATATCTTGTCATTTCATTCTGTTTTATTTGACTGAGTTTTAACCTCCTAAATGCATACTTACCTGCTGAATGTGGCAAACAATGAGCACTAAGTTAAAGGTAAATGTACACACAAGGACTCTTTTTTTTTTTTTTTTGACATTTTGATGATCAAACGTTGCCAGTATGTATGTGGTGGTAGTTGTTGGACAGTAGATCTCATGTTTACACTGCTGCATGTCTTTTTGAAGATGAAGTTGTACATTTTCACCTTTTAATTTAAAATTGAGTAAAAAAAAGAAAAAAAAAGACAAGCAGCTGATATACCAAACAAAGTTTTAACAATAAAGTGAATGTCTGCCAGCTGGATTTCTTCACCTCACCTCTTTTTTTCTGTTTAATTTCTCTTTTGAACATCTTTAAACACCTTTTTAAGCTGATAACGCTGCTAGAATTATAGGAGTTTTTTTGGACAATTAAGCTTCGCACACCTTTTTATCTTCAATATAAATATTGTCAAGTTTCTTTAAAACTTTGTGTGAAAATGAGAGCTGTCCATCCTGAGCTCAGTGTTTTGTTTGTAATGAAAGCAAAGCCTCTGCTGGTGTTACCGTGCCTTATGGACAGGTGGTCGGGCTCATGTGGAAAGCACCCAGGAGCTACTTCCGTCTCAGAGGGTATTAATACATTCCTTCGCTCGCACTAATCGGGGTATGTTCTGTGGTTCTATTAAAATGAAAGACTTGTTTAAAAGGCTTCGCGAGGTGACGCATTTCTAAAACAAGCAAAAGGAAGTTATGACTTGTAAAACGATTTTCTTTTTCGCTCCTGTGCAGCAACCAGAATTCTATTTCTGTACATCTTTTCCTTACGAACACCTCCACAATGATACCCTGACGTCTCCTCCGCTTTCAAGGATTCGATTTCGAGGCCTTCTGGGAATCCACGGTTGACTTGTTCAAAAGTAACATTTGTATTTGTTTTGATAACCAAAAGCATAATGTCTCTTTCAGCTCATTATGAGTGATCTGAGTGGTATATTCAAAGGGAATCAGTCGACCCTTTCAGTTGAAAACACAATAAATCAGGACAACAATGACAAATCCGTGGAGCTTTGATGACTCAGTTGTGGACAAGCTTTCAGATTAGATGGTGCACCTAGTTGGTTCATGAGCAGACACTGAAACCTAAAACCTTGACTTGCACTTTCTAAAAGTAGACTTTGCAGAGAAGCGCAGCCTCTGCTTGTCACCGGTTTTAATTCATGTGCCTCTTGCTCCACAACACTCAAAGCACAGAAGGGCGCGAATGAAACCAGTCTTGTTTTATGAGCTTTTTGTAAAGCGCACAACTGGGCGGATCGTTTGCTTTTGTCTGGTGGTGATCGCTGATCGTCATTAACAGCAGAGAATAATGTTCGAATTATTGCTGCTGTTTGTGTCACTTTTGATTTGGCGTTTGGCAGGACAGTTTGTTTTTGCTGCTCTGCTGGACAAGTTACGTAATGTTTTGTTACGCTCAGGACTAATGGAGTTGATTTAATGAACATGAAGAGAATAATTGGACTGTGGTTTGGTCACAAAGTTTGTTTTAAAAGGGAGTTCCTGGAAGGAAGTTCATCATTGGGCTGTTTTACACTTTCTCATTACATCAGTATTAAAGTCAAAATCAAAAATGAGAAGTCATCAGATGAAGGTCATTTAAGGTCTGCTGAGAAAAAAGAAAAACAGTCTGGACTCAAGTCTCTCACACTGTAACTCCATCACCTCCCAAACCGCGGAGCCACACTACGTCCTGCGAATTTTATCTGGCTGAGAACAGCACCCAGATTTCAAGAAGTGCCTCATGAATCCAACAGTTAGGGCGAGAGTGTAAACAGAGAGGGCGAGCTCGATGGCCGGTGTGGAGGGACCCTGCGTGTCTGCGACCAGCTGCACCTGTCTAAGGAGTGGGGGACCGGGGCCCCAAGGCCGTACTCGGCCAAGTGTCTGTAGGAGAGGAAGCTGGGCTGAGGTTCTCTCACAGCACGCTGATGGAAGCTAAATATATCTTTCAGTAGTTTTAAGTGATATTAGTGGAGTTGCCCATTTATCCAGATATTTTCAAGGGTGATGCTTGATGTCTTACAGATAGTTCTCACTGGACTGCACATATGGGCTGCACAATGTCAGGAAAACCTGCCGTGTGACTTAGGATAAATGGACAAATGAGTTTGACTGTGTTGATGTCTTTCTGCTCGAGGTTCAAAGCAAAAAAAAAAAAAAAAAACAACTAATAGACAATTTCAATTACAACATGCTTTTAGTTTTGAACAGTGCAACTAAACAGCTGCTGCATTAGCAGTGAAACAACAAACTGCGCGCAGTTCAGTTTAAGAACTTTAAAACATTGTCCTCATAAAATAGTTTYGGAAAAATTTCCCTTACTATCAGTTTTTTTTATAAATAAGAAAAACATCTGAAAACAAGTAAAATATTTTAAAGTTGAAAAAACTAAATCCAATTGCAGATTCTCTCACTGCAGTTGTTCAACATTTTCTTCGCTCATTGAGTAGTTCTGATTTGATGTATCTCGGGTCCATTTTGTTTATCAGACTGATGCTGACAAAATGCATAAACATAAATATCTGAGCCAACCATCTGTTGTCGCTTACAGTTTTTTTTTCTGCGAAATGCTGTTATCATGAAAATGATCAATTTGTGATACGTTGTGCAGCCCTAATACTTACATGTGTTTAGAGACATTTGGGATTTTTAAGCTTATGCAGTTCCTAATTTGATAAAAGGCTAAAAATATAAACCAACAAAAGTACAGTGAAATAAAATAAGATGTGGCCTCTCAAATATTTTTGAAAACACTAGTATGACCAAAAAAAGCTAATTAAGTTATAAAATAATAATAAAAAAAGACATTTGAGGTTTTTTTAGGCACTTAAAGAATAAAGAAACWAAAGTTTAACACAAGTCTGGATTTGAAGTGAAGGTCCAACATCTGTCAGCAGAACAACTTGAAACTGACTTACAGTAAAGAACAGAAGAATAAATAAAAGTGGCAAAGAACAAATACAATAAAATTATCCAGCACAGAATCCCAAATCAGGAATCACATAAAGTTCTTTTGGGAGAACTGAAATCTGTTGTTGTAGTGT